GGAAAACCATATCACTCATTTCAGAAACATGGGTATGAAATATGAACAAGAATTAGAAGAAGTGCATGCAATTCAATTATTAATGCATAACATCGATGATAAGATTGTACCATACCTTTGCATGGCTTAAATTTCAACATTTCAAGAGTTACTGGATCAGGCAGCAAAATTTGAAAAGTTAAATCTTTCAAATTATGAAAGTTATATAGATTGATCCAAAAGAAATAAGGCTCCAGATGTAAGAAGAGGTGAAGGTCGTGCCTCCTATAATATTTAAAAAGGAATGAGATCAAGCAATAATGAAGATAAAGAAAGAGCCAATTTTGATCCTCATCAAAAGTTAATATTTTGGGGCAACAATAAAAAACCAAGAAACTTTCCTATTAGAGGGGAACATCCTAAACCAACAATAGGAGAATTTTATTGAGCATTTTCACCTCTTAAACAGAAAATGAAGAAAGAATATTCTTTCTGAAGAGATAGTGTGACTAAATTATTTTGCTATGCACTAAAGCCAGTTCTGGAATTGCCAAAATCCAAAAGACCTAAAGAGGCATATAAAATTAATTATCCTAATTACTGTCCATATCACCAAGTGATTAGCCATCCTATTAAAGATTGTTATGTCTTCAAAGCTTGGTTAGAGAAAAGTATAGAATGGGATAATTCACACTATCAAAGAGTGTTTTGATGCAACCAAAGGAGTCAACGAGAATGATTATATCCTCCTCTATATCACCTGTTGAAGAATTAAAAGAATAAGTGGTGTAAAAAGAAAAATGGGATGTTGCTATTTCAAAGAAAATAGTAAAAATGCTAAAGAAACTTAAAGGAGTTCCTGATATAAAATGGAAGTCTCTGATTGAACCATTACTTAAATAAAAAAACAAAGCTAAATTCAAGTATATTTATTTATAAATTATCGCTTGGAAAACATTCTAATAAATCTAGTTCATTATGTTCTAGCTAGGCACTACCAAAGAAATCAAATAAGTCATTTCAACAAAGGAAACCAAGAATGATGAAAATTGTTGTTCCAAAAGTTATAGTAATATGTAAGAATATTATCAACCAGCAATACGTCCTATTACCATAGTTGATTTCATGTCTCAGTTTCAGATAAATTAGAACATGTAGGGTTATTTCATTAACTTCAAACATTTTTCAATGAACTCCTTTTCAAATGCTTGATGAAGAATCTATTGTTACAAAAGAAATGACAACTCATGCATGCATGATGGTGCTACAAATAGGCACTAATTCAGATGAAGATTTATGTTTTCCTGATGAAAGCAAATCAGAACATATAGAGACATCTCAGATGAAGCACATAAATGAAGATAGTGATTCCAAACACTCTGAACAATCAACTCAATTAATGAAGGAGGATTCTGAAGGAATTGATATGCTTGATGAATTTAAACAAAATGAAGTAGTCCAAGTACAATTGAGGAGTGGTAAAAGATTGCCATCACCGCCGAAGAATAGAATCATCAAAAAAAGATAAGGGTAAAGAGAGTGATTAATGAAAATATCATTCTTAATGATCCTAAGGATAAATCTACACAAAGAAAGGGAGTAGATTTTAATATCTTATCCCATTTAAGAAAAATTCCTGCACAGCTCAGTGTGTGTACAGCTTTGCTAATGTCAAAGGATCTTTAAAAAAAATTTGATTCACTCTTAGAGATCCAGAAAAATATGAAGCATATTTTACTGAAAGATGTTTAACTAGAGTTTTACAAACACAAAATGAGCTAGTCATTACATTCTGTGAAGATGATCTTATGCTTGGGATGATAGAGCATAATTGTCTTCTATATGTTACAATATAAAGTGATGGTATTATAATAAGCAGAATTTTAATCAATCCTAATTATTTAATAAATCTCATTAGTTTACAAGCATTGAGATTATTTCTCACTTGATGCTCAACATATTGGACAAGATAAATTAATGGTGCAAGATTTCAATGAAAAAGGGCAAAAAATTATGGGTTCATTTGTTCTCCCTCTTATGTTTGGAAAACATTTTACATAAGCTAAATTTCATGTGATTGATGTAGATACTCCATCTCTTGAGTACTTCATACATTAATATAGAGTTGATGGAATAATACCATATTCATGAATATATGGTCATCCCAAAAGTTCTGAGTTCAAAGTTTCAGGTGATATTCAGCCTTTTGTTGTCCATGAAGTAAAAAATTTATGAAGATGCAAAATATTTCATTTTGAAGGCATCAAAATCTATTAAACCAATAAAAATAAAGTATCAAATTCCAAGCTTGTCAAGCAATCTAAAAAGGAGGCTGAAAAGAAGCAATTAGGGGTTGAAATGAATCAATTAGGAAGAAAGAAGGTTGTGATGACTCTTCCTAAATAGATTAATATATTATCTAAATCTAAAAGAATTGTTCCTCATTTGGAAAGTGACACAGATGAAGATGATGACTTTCTTATCAAATTTAAGTAATTGTGTAAGCCTTTCGCTAATGATGAAATGCAAGAAGAATACTCTGATTCTGAATATGACTGTGAATCTACTTATATAGGTAGGATACAGTATATCTTTTTGACAAAAATGACAAATTTGTTAATCTCAAAATATACATTTAAAATTACACCTCTCCCTTCACAAAATTTTAGAGAAATCACTCATTGTGAGATTCATAAGATTGATGAACTCAAAATATTTTATGTAGCTCCTCTATCTAGTGATAGTGGACCAGGAAGCTTATTATATAAATCTGAGCAGTATCATGATAAAAATTTTGATTGTCTCCTTCATTATTTTGAATATAAAGAAATAGAGCCTATCATAATCCCAAAATATTATCCTACAAGGATTCAAAAAATACTACAAAAATAAAGAATTATGGAGGGATAACTAAAAGAAGAAGTCATTTATTTCAAATAATATGGAATCAAAAGAATTTATTGGCATCACAACAAAGTGATTGCCTTACGACTAAAGGCCTTGGATTTAGTATATATAAATATCCATGGAGAAGGGTATGTCATACAATAACAGGAAGATACACTAAAGCTAAAGAAAAAGTAGAGAATGATTTTTATGAAGTAAATATCTATGGTGATCAAAAAGTGGAAGCCAAACTGCACCTGAAGAGCTTGAAGATGATGGATAGTCCACGACCATGGATGAACTGAAGGAAATTAATATGGAAACTAATAAGGACCCTTGCCCGACCTTTATTAGCGCTCTTCTTTTCAAAATAAAGTTGAAAAGATGAAAACATTAATCAATGAATTCAGGGACTGTTTTGCTTGGATATATGATGAAACACTAGGCTTATCTCCTGATATAACTATTCATAAATTAGCCATCATATCAGGTGTAGTACCTGTTAAGCACACGCCAAGACGAATGAGACTTGAGGTTGAAGAGCAAGTGATTGTAGAAACTAAGAAGATTATCAAAGCAGATTTCATTCAAAAAGAAAAATATGCTGATTGGATAGCTAGTATTGTCTAGGTGAAAAAGAAGAATTGAGAAATTCACATATTTTTATTGAGAGAAATCATATACAGTCACTTTTTGTATAGTCCAATTCCATGATGAGAAAAAGTTGATATTTTTGACACTATTTTTTTATGATATAAAAACAACTTAGTGTTTGTAAATATTGAAGACAAAAAATTCGTTCCAACTATATCCTGAATAAATAATAACCATTCCACCATTGCAACCTCGACACGATGCAACCTACCTCAAATTAATACTTTATATTGTATTAGGTTGTGACAAGTCGAGCCTAAGGTGCATTGAACAATTCAAGGTGATAACTATGGTGTACATATTATAATATTTTATAAATATTTTTCTTTTTGAATGATGGTGTACACTATTTCTTGAAGGTGATAGTCCAATCAATTGACATATCATAAAATTAATCAAAGAATATTTGATCTAAATTTAGGAAATATTCTACATTGTTTTCATGGATTGTTTTCATCAGATTAAGGTACACTCATAGTAGTGACATATATATAACATATGTACAATTAGACTTTCTAAACCTATTTGTTGTCCATTTTATAATTTTTTTCCCACTCTAAACTTAATGCAATTTTTATAATTATTTTTTCCATAAATTTAAATTTTAAAACTTCAAGATATAAGGATTTTATTGAATTTGAACATAAAAACTAAACTTTTTTATTATTATGAATATATTGTACTACATTTTTTTAATATATACTAAACTTATTCAGTAACTTCAATTAGAAGCCATTTCTCGTCCTTTTAACCGTTTATGAGAGAGAGAGAGAGAGAGAGAGAGAGAGAGAGTGGGGAAGAGAGTCACATAGAGAGATTCTATGATCGAAGCTAAGCCAGTTCAGAAACTTGCTCTACTCAAGTTTTGCTGGTTTCTTCTATTATATGATTTCTCATATTTTATTCGAAAATATTTTACAAAATTTAAGATACATCAATATTTCTTATTATAACTTTCGTAAATTTTCACCGAATTTCCTACAATTAGATATTTTTGTCAAGTGAAAAAATCCAAGTTATGTCATAGCGTTATGTTATCTAATATAGGCTTCGTTTGGGACAACTTTTTCATCAATTTTTAATACAATTTTTTAATATAAAAATCTATAATAAAAAAATAAATATGCTAAAAAATTGATTTAGAAAGCACTAAAAAAGCTGTTCCAAATGAAGCCATAATGTTATATTCAATCTAGATAATATCAAGGGTTGTCTAGCATATTCAGGCTTTGTTTGGGACGGGCTTTTTTACTGCTGCTTGAAACAACTTTTTAGTACAAAAATTTTAATTTTTATACTAAAAAACTGCTTCAAACAATAAAAAAGCCATCACAAATGAAACCTCAATCTACTTTGAATGATAAAAGTTTATTTTGTTGATATCTATTGAAGTACACCATGATTAGCACTTTGTTCTTTTGACCTAAACATATCTATTGCGTAATATGATTTTGATTAATGGTTTTCATTTAGTTTTATGCTTTGATAGATCATTACTGGCTCTGTTTGAGGGAAATCGTATATAGATTAACAATGCTGATTGTTCAAAAGCTAACCTAAAGTCAGAGTTCTCAAGGCATGATCCAATCCTATGTAGTTTGCTAGGCGTAGAAAGCTACGATTTACGGTTTATGGATGTAAGGAATTCTACCTCTCCCCAGGATCCTGTTTAGCAGTCCTGGATGGAACTTGATCGCCTTCATCCATCTCTGTTTTGAGAGCACAGCGAAAAGCAGAATTAAGCTGTTTCCTCAACCTTGCATTGTCTATTAATGTGCCTATAAGAACTCTTTTCATCTCTTCCTCGCCAGCGCTTTGATCATCACCATTGATAGCAATTACATCTCTCGAGGATTCTGATGTTCTACTCTGTACCTGGTCAGAAACCAGTTCCTCATGATCTGGAGCAAGTAACTGTACCTAAAGCAGGAACATTAGCCAATAGCCATTAGCTACTTTCTAAATTTTGCGAAATGTCGTAGATTTGTAATAATCACACCCAAAAGTTCCTGTATATTTAAATAGAAATAGATTGAGAACGTGACTGAAGAACATGGTTTCATTAATGCAGAACAGGCAGGCAAAATATGATTACATGATTTTCAACAGGCTCAGAACTCTGGCGTGTGGAAGGAAATATGTAATCCGCACTCAGTAGTAACGGCTAGGTTACTGAGCAATTAACATAAATGTGTGCCTCAAAGCTCAAAATTAGTGTTAGAAGGCTAAGAAGAAGGATTTCTGAAGTAGCATGGATGGCCGTTGTTCAAAATGAATTGTGATTAATTGAAAATTAATGAAACTTAAAATTTATAAAGCCAGACCTAAATAATTGGGATAAGGCTGATGAAAATGATGATGCAATTCAAAGTCCAAGCAAGTCAGTAACTGCTGGTTGATTCGCCAACCATTCTTGATCAGCTTAAAAGGTCATTTTATAATAATTTAATTGAAGTTGAAAGCATCTTTATTTGATTTAAATAAGATTAGGTGGGTTGAGACACTTAATTAGGCTTCTACCAACTATTGGCTCTATGAAATCTACTTGCCTTAACTAAGAGAAGAACATATTTACAATTTTAAATCAGTTACTAATCATCAGGTGATTTCAGGAGATTACCTCTGCAATAAGGAGGTCAATTCTATTATCTGAAGTTGCCAGAAGATCTAAAGCAGCTGGAAATGATGAGAGACTGACAGTAAGCCTATCTTCCGCTTCAGCAATGAAATTAACTTTGCATTCTTGAAGCCGGTGGCGTAGAGTTTCACATTTATGAATAAGATTCATCCTTGCAAAATTTGTATGTGCGCCCTTTTTCTTCACATTTAGAAGAGTTGTCTGAAAACAATATTTATTTAAATGAATGTTTAATAACAAAAACCAATGATAGCAATACATACGAAACATAATTTGACCAAATTTCCAAGTCACAAAAAGGCATCCTAACTGTTGCACCATCATCACCCTCTTTATTCTGTAACTTAGCACTCTTTATAAGAAACAAAATTTCCATGTGATTTGCAACGCCTCAATGAACAACATGGTGAGATATCCCCGAGGATTCTAATATCCCTTGCACTTTGAAATTTTTACCATCTTCCAAAAGACCAAGTGAACTTATATAACATTTAGATGAATGTTTCAAAATCTAAATGCAATAAACAATACTATTATATTAATTTGCTTGGTATAATTTTCAAAAACATCAATACAAGGAAAACGTACAAGAAAGTTCATGACTATCGATGCAAATGAATTGCATTTTGGCTTATACTCTTTCAATATTGTACATTGATCTTTACTTGATTTTACTACTTGGCATTGAAGAACTTGCTAAAGCTTATTGATTGATTTTGAGTTGAGGTAGATCTAACCCTAAGGCCTAGTGTTGGACTTGAATTTCTTTGGCTAGGCTACAATAACTTGTTGAGCCGATGGAGGTTGTCGATGATCTGATGCATTGTGCTTTTGTTACAGAGCAGGTTCTGCCTGGGCCGGCTGGACCGGTCCACGTTTACAGCAGCGGACAAAACAGGAAAGAAAGGGGGGGGGGGGACAAGGAGGTGGGGCCAGAGCTTGGTTTAATGCAAATTGGGGGGAAAAATTTGAATGTAAGGGTAGTTTAGGTAAGTGTTAATTATCCTTTGATGTTAATTAGGAAGAATTGGGGGGATGGGGAATTTTGAATCTTATTTTGAGATCTAGGGTTTTCTATTGGGCTCTTGGCAACGCCGGAGATTAGGAGAGTTTTCATTCCTCTCGAATTGAAGGAAATTGTATCTTTGCTTGATTTCTTGAATCTACTAGTGAAAGACAATTGCTCTATTGGTTTTCCTATAAGTTTTGGAAGTCTTGGAAGGCGAAATCGGACAATTGAAATCCAATTTGGAAGGAAAAATTTTCGACTTTCAAAATCAAATCACCTCCAACAATGAAAGGTTGGAGGGGAAGCTCACTGTGATGGAAGAGATGATGAAGAAATTACTTGAAATGAAGACCAATCAGGCGACATCGGAAGTAGGAGAGAACACCGACGGTCATGGCATGGGAGGAAATCCGAACCCATTATGAGGGAGGAGGAATTCGGAGGTGGAAATTCTGGAGGAGGAGAACAACATGCCCCCTCTAGAACCGCTTTCTAGAGAGGAGATGAGTAGGGGATACGACCAATGGGAGGCTGATTTGGTCGGAAGGAGGGAAGAATTCAATCGCCGAGGTGCTGAATTTTAAAGAATCCAGTGTCGAGATGCTGATTTTGAAGAGGGAAGGGAAGATATTCATCGCCGAGGTGCTGAATTCGAAAGGATTCAGCGTCGAGGGGGCTGTTTTTGAAGGAAGAAGGGAGGAACGTCATCGTCAAGGAGCTGAATTTGAAGGAATTCAGCGTCGAGGTGATGATTTTGAAGGGAGAAGAGGAAGAGGGATTCGAGTATAATCGTCGGAGGGATGATCAGGACACTTGGGGAACTCTTCCCTTTCGAGGAATGGGAGGTTATGGACGGTACCGGGGAAACGGAGGAGACCCACGGGTGAGGAAGCTGAAGATGCCCATCTTTGAGGGTGAAGACGGCCATGGCTGGATCTATAAAGTTGAGCGTTACTTCGCTGTCAACAGGTTGACAGAGGATGAAAAATTGACAGCGGCAGGTTTGTGTCTGGAAGGAAAAGCTTTGGCATGGTATCAGTGGCGTGATAGGAGGGAGCCCATCCGGAGCTGGAGAGTGTTCAAAGATTGCTTATTAGAGCATTTCCGAGCCGACGGGGGAGGAGACTTCTATGAGCAATTCTTTGCCTTGACTCAGGAAGGGACTGTGGCAAATTATTGGGATCAATTTGAGTACTTGGCTAGCAGATTGGATCACATTTCAGAGTCAGCCTTAGAAAGGAACTTCATGAAGGGGCTGAAACCAGAGATCCGAACAGCAGTCAGGGTACTGGAGCCGAGGTACCTGGGAAAGGCTATGGAGCTGGCGCAGTTGGTGGAAGATCAAAAGAGATCAAAAAGAGGAGCTCGAGGGAACTATTTTGGTGGATCATACAAAATGACTACCACCTTCTTACCATCCAAAGGGGGAGCACCAGGGGACAGAAGGAAGCACCCAAGGAGAAGACTGGAGGGGGAAATGGGGGATAGTTCAAAAAATTGATAGAAAAGGAGATGCAGGATAAGAGAGCAAGAGGGTTGTGCTTCAGATGTGACGAGAAATATATGCTGGGGCATAGATGCAAGGACCGAACTCTTCAGGCATAGACGAGGGCACTGTACCAGACAAGTTCCCAATTCTAGTAATCGACGAGCTTGGACGAGCTACATGGGGCAGTGGTATTTTCCAAGTTGGACTTAAAATCTGGATACCACCAGATCAGGATAAGAGAGGCTGATGTTCCGAAGAAAGCCTTCATGACACATGAGGGATATTATGAATTTCTGGTAAAGCCATTTGGATTGACTAACGCTCCTACAACTTTTTAATCATTGATGAACAGGGTATTCAAGCAGCACCTCAATAAGTTTGTCCTGGTCTTTTTTTATGACATCCTGGTGTACAGTAAGACTGTGGAGGAGCACTTGGAACATCTGAGGGTGATATTGGAAGTGCTTCATGAGCACCAGTTGAAAGCGAATCTAAAGAAGTGCATTTTTGCTCAGGCAAATGTGGAGTACTTGGGACATGTGGTATCCCAAGGAGTGGTAGCGGATCAAACTAAAATTGAGGCAATGCAGAAATGACCACTGCATAGGAACCTCAGGGAGTTGAGGGGTTTCCTATGATTGATGAGATACTACAAGAAGTTTGTGAAGGGGTACGGTGCCATTGCATGGCCTTTGACTAAGCAGCTGAAGAAAGACAATTTTTGCTGGGGAGAGGCAGCCACCCAGGCGTTCGAAAGGTTAAAAGAAGTCATGACGACTATTCCTGTTCTAGCTCTTCCAGACTTTGGTCAGGTCTTTGTAGTAGAGACGGATGCATCAGGATATGGGCTAGGTGTAGTGTTGATGCAGAATCACAGGCCAGTAGCATACTTCAGTCAAGTGCTTTCAACCAGAGCTCGATTGAAGTCAGTGTATGAAAGAGAGCTGATGGCCACTGTCTTGGCTATTCAAAAGTGGTGGCCGTATCTCTTGGGAAGACACTTTATTGTGGGGACTGATCAGAGGAGCTTGAAGTATTTGTTAGAGCAAAGGATGGTGACTGAAGAGCATCAGAGATGGTTATCCAAACTATTAGGCTATGATTTTGAGATCCAATATAAGCCCGGTTTGGAGAATAAGGCAGCCAATGCTTTATCCAGATGTGTTGGGGAGCTTCAGGAGTTGGTTGTGTCTGCTCCACTGATGGTAGATTGGGGGGCCATTAAGGAAGAATGTAGGTTGAATGAAGAATTGAGAACAATAAGAGAAGATCTGAGGAAAGACAAGAGTATCCATCCTGGGTACTACATTGAGGGGGAGAGGTTACTGTATCAAGGGAGGTTTGTGATGTCACGAACCTCCATCCATATTCCCTACCTATTGCAGGAGTTCCACGGCAGTGCAGTTGGAGGCCATTCAAGAGTTCAGAAGACATACAGAAGGCTAGCAGCAGAACTCTATTGGAAGGGGATGCATAAAGATGTGGAGGAGCTGGTTGCAAGGTGTGAAGTGTGCCAGAAAAACAAGTACATGGCCATGGCTCCAGGAGGATTGCTACAACCTTTGACACTTCCAAACAAAGTTTGGGAGGAGGTGTTAATGGACTTCATCAACGGATTACCACGATCAGAAGGATACAATGTCATCATGGTGGTGGTGGACAGGCTCAGTAAGTATGCACACTTCATTCTCCTGCGACATCCCTACACCACAGTGTCAGTGGCAGCAGTATTTATCAGGGAGGTAGTTAGACTACACGGGGTTCCTGAATCGATAGTGACGAATCGAGACAAGGTGTTCCTTAGTCAGTTTTGGAAGGAGATGTTTCGATTGCAGGGCACAATCCTCAAGAGGAGCACCACATACCATCCACAGACAGACGGCAGACGGAGGTGGTGAACCGAAGTTTGGAAACCTATTTGAGGCGTTTTGTGTCGGAGACCCCGCGAATGTGGGCAAAATGGCTGCCCTGGGCTGAATATTGGTACAATACCTCATACAATTCCATCTCCCAGATGACCCCATTCAAAGTGTTGTATGGAAGGGACCCTCCACCCCTGGTGCACTTTGGGAGAGGAAGCACACCTGTGTCGTCAAACGAGCAATATTTGGAAGACAGAGATAAGGTGCTGGAAGAATTAAAGAAACGTCTGATGAGGGCCCAACAGATTATAAAGAAGCAGGCGGATTCACATAGGAGAGACATGCAGTTTGAAGTGGGGGAGGTGTTCTTGAAATTACGACCCTACCAACAGTAGACAGTGGCCAGAAGAAGGAATCAGAAACTAGCACCCAGGTACTTTGGTTCCTATGAAGTGTTGAACAGGGTCGGTGCGATGGCATACCGATTAAGGTTACCCCCATCAACCACCATACATCCAGTGTTCCATGTGTCTCAGCTAAGAAAGGCCATAGGGGAGCATGCAACAAGTGAAGAACTTCCAGATACCATGACGGAGGACTTAGAGGTGGTTCTAGAGCCACTAGAGCTGGCAGGAGTTCGGTCAAACAAAAAAGGGAGTAAAGAAGTACTGATTAAATGGAGGCGCCTCCCTGATTTCGACGCTACGTGGGAACTGTTGGAAAGAATGAAAAAGCAATTTCACTCGTTTCACCTTGAGGATAAGGTGAGTTTTTGGAAGGGGAGTAATGTTACGGAGCCGGCCCCTCCTGGGCCATCCAGCCTGGACCGGTCCAGGTTTAC